ATTTTATAATTTAATATATATATATATATATAAATATTTTATATTATATTAATAATTGAATACTTGAATAATATTGTTTTTTTTTTTTTATTCATAAAAGATCGAGGTTGTGGCAATTACAGTAAGGCACGTGTTTCTATTTGAATGATAGTACATATTTTGAATGATTAACACAAACTCTGTCCTTAAGACTTATCATTATTCAAGTGCTATCAATTTACGAAGTATCATCACGTTTCAGCATCGATTGATACACGGAATAGTTTTCTTGGACAATAGGACCCCATTGAGTTAAATTACGTAATCGTCCTCGATTAAACTAACTTCTTCCTATACCACTACCACTACCACTACTACTACTACCACTACCATTACCAATTACCAACTAACATCATCATCATCATCATCATCATCATCACTTTTAATAGGAAATGACAAAAAATACATTATTTCTTCTTACACGATGAAATATAATAACAATAAAAAATAAAAAAATAAAAATAAAAAAACAGTTTAGAGAGAAAAACAATATGAAAGATGCAAAAGAAAATAAATAAATAAAAGGGGTAATTTATGATTGTAGTAGATTATGCGATGATAAATTGTGTTTAAGTATTACTAGACTGATCGGAATTAGTATTGTCTGACTGTAAACTTTACATGCGACGTGACCCTGATGATTTTTTTTTCCAATTCTCTCTCTCTCTCTCTCTCTCTCTCTCTCTCTCTCTCTATCTCTCTCGACAAAATAAATTATACCAAGAGAATGCACTTAGTTTTTAAATAACAACTCGTATCGTCGTTTATAATGTGTCTTACATTATGTATTGTATATACGTGTTATATGGTGTGTGTGTGTGTGTGTGTGTGTGTGTTGTTGTTGATTTAACGCGCCATTTATTTCACACGATGCAAAATTCGATTTAATGCGGTTCAAATGTTATACATTATCATTATCATTATCATTATTATTATTATTATTATTATTATTATTATTATTATTATTATTATTATTATTATTATTATTATTATTATTAATATCTTTTTCGAGAAGTTTTATGTGATTTATTTATTTATTTTTTTTATTCCACGATCAAAAAAAAGAAAAAGAAAACATAACGATAAAGTAATAATAATAATATTAATAAAATAAAGTCACAATATCACGTGACGACTTAAGACCGATAAGGATTAATTGTTGAATTTCTAATTGTTTGTTAAATAATTATTTGTTATTATTATTTTTCTTACCTTTCTAAGATACGATGGGGATATAACTGCTTTTCAAATGGTCCTTTTAATCCTTTAAACTCTATCCTTTTTGTTATTCGAATGAACTTGTGTTGAATTGAACAATGGACGAGGGATGAAATGGAAGAATAAGATAAAATAATAATAAATAAATTTTATTATTATTTATTATTTAAATAATAATAATAATAATAGAAAAAAGAAATGATAAGCGATAAGAAGATTCGAATGAGAATGAAAATATTGTAATAAAACTTAAAAGAACAGAATAATATTAATAATAATAATAATAATAATAATATGAACGAATGTAATCTTCAGTGGTGGTGGTGGTGGTGGGGTAAAGGTGTTTATTCGATAATTTGTTGTTGTTGTTGTTTGCTTTTTAAATAGAGTCCAAAATTTCGGATGATCACTGTCCATTTTGTTTGAGTAATTTTCTCGTTCTAAATCCACGAAAATTGGCTTGAATTCTTGTTGCTGCCAATTGTTCAGCCTGTTGTTTTTTTCTAACCAAATATCCGCGTATACCAGCTTGTATTTTGGTTGCCGATTTTTCTTCCAAAGCTTCTCTGGTATTTTGTCTTTTCAACGTTGACGTACTTGACGATGATGTAAATGATTCTTCATCATCATCACTTTGTTGTCTTTTAGGTTGCAATTGTTGTTGTTGTTGTTGTTGTTGTTGTGGTGATTTTGTTTCTTTTAATTGTTTTCTAACACGATAACCGCGAAAATTCGCTTGAATTTTTGTTGCAGCGGTATTTGCTTTCATCCTGTCGTCGTCGTCGTCTCTTTGTCTTTTATCGTGCATATATTTATTTATTTATTTATTTTTTTATTTGTTTAATATATATTTATATATATATATATATTCGTAGTTGTGTGAATGTTGCAACTCTTTTATTTTTTTTTTGTATTTTTTGGTTTTAATATTAAAACGTAAATGAAATTTTCTTCTTGCGTACGTGTTTGTATATAATATATATATATTTTATATATTATTTATTTAGTATTTTATTTCAAAAAAAAAAAAAACAATACTCCCCAATCGAGGTGTATACTTTTCAAGTTTGTTTGGTATTTTTTTTTGTATTATTATTATTATAATTTTTTTCTAATTTTATAATTTTTTGCTGGGTAGGAAGAAAGGGTGGGGGAGATTTGGGAAGATTGATATTAACGTTATATATATATTTTTGTTCTTTCAAAGTTGTTTATAATATCTTCTTTTCTTATTCTTCTTCTATGTGTTCTGTTTCTTGTTTATCTTCTTCTTCTTTTCTTTCTTTTTTTTTTAAAACGAACGAATAACTTGGTAACACTTTTTATTAATTAAAAAATCAAAGTAAAACTGATGAACAATTTAATGAACAATACACGTTTGGTGATCTGACTTGCACTTGGTCTCTCTTTCTCTCAGTGTGTCGACGTTCTAAACTCTCTTGTGTGTTTGCTTGCTTGCTTGCAATTCTCAGACCAGAGGCGGGAGATCTTTCACGCATGCGTATTTTACTATCAACCTTTTCTCTCTGTCTCTCTCTTTTACTCTCCTTTGTTCTCTCTCTCTTTCTCTCTCTTGTTCACGTTTGTATTCGCCTTTGCAAAAGCATTCGCGTGTACGACAATAAAGAATAGAATTTGTTCTTATCCCCTCCCCCTTCCTCACCCTTTGCCACCCCTTCCCCAATCCCTCGAGAAACGTGCGAGTGAACGTTCCAACTTTTCTTCTTTTTTTTTTTTTTATATTTTTTTATATTTTTCTTTTTTTTCTTTTAATATTAAAACGTAAACGCGCGGATTCTTCAAACAGAGTCAGTCTCCTCCTTGTGTGTGTGTGTGTGTGTGTGGTTTTATTTTTGATTTTCTTTTTATTTGATACAATTCTTTTTTTTTTTTGTATTATTTTAAATTAATCCAAATGTCTACTTTTTGTCTATGATATCCAAGTGTGTGTGTGTGTGTGTTTTTTTTTTAATTTTATTTTTAATTAAAATATCAATCGAGTACGGAGTGAACAATTCAAAATTGTTTACTCGTACACAAAGAAATTATCAATGATTTTTTGTTCCCTTAAAACTTACCCCTATTTAGGGATAATGATGAAATTTGCAAAATAAATCTAGGCATAGATTTGAAGGATATTTTAAAAGGATGTTTTGTTTTTATTTTCGCAGTATTATAAGTATTTTGTAAATAAACAAAACACGTGTTATTATTATCTATTTGTCAGTATTAATTTGTTCCTTAGAAATCAATTGAAGTAATAATAATAATAATAATGATGATGATGATGATGATGATGATCATGTTATTTTCATGATAGTTAATTTATTTCTAAGAATTCGTCATTTGGATTAATTGATAAGCATAACGAGTATGTTTGTTATGATCATTGATTGGCACCAATCTTCAATGAGATAAATTGAAAAAGGGTACGACGATTTAATTTATTCAATGGTTGCATAATATATTGAAATAACTATCTTTGTAAATATTCAATTCCTAAATTTATCCGACATTTGGATTCTTGATATTTCCAGTAATCTGTTGATCAAAAATACGAACTATCTTTTAGCATACGAGACGTAGATAATCATTCAGATTATAATAGAACAAAACAAGTTTTTCCTATTATTAATACAATCTTCCATTCATTTCATTTACATCACCGAGTATAAATTTATTCATATTCAAGAATTTTACATAATAAACGAATCATCGATGTATTAATAAAACATAACTAATGTTTAATAATGTATTCTACAATTTCGTGAAGAAATTTAACACATTGTATATTTATTTATTTTTTTTTTTTTACCAAAAAAGAAGAAGAAGAAGAAACCAATTAAATCTGCTATAAAAAAAAAAAAAAAAGAACAAGGAAAAGAAAAATAATATTTCAATAGAATATAAATGATTTTGTATTAAATTTAAAATTCATATCACATACTTTTTATAGATTGTTTTATTTTTCTTTCCTTCTCTCATAAAATAATAATAATAATAATAATAATAATAATTATAATAATAATAGGACCTTGGTATAGGTAAATATGTAAAAAAAAAGGTGTTGACGAGAAAGAAAGTAATCAAAGTAAAGACGTCACTGTAACACGTTGGTATATAGTGGATTTCAACTTTCTCTGCGTCACTTTTATCGAAAATGTTTTTTTCTATCTCTCGAACGAATATATACACACATATACAAATACACATATATATATATATAGAAAAAAACCCACGTGCGTGTACCCACCAGTACAACCTCCTCATGTATCTTTTCATAGATGAATTAATGCATGACGTTAAAAGACGATTAACTCACAATCGTGAGCTCACTGTATGAAAGTAATCGGTATTGGTAAGTGGGTTGTGTTGTTGTTGTAATTGTGTGCTTGTATATATGATTGTGTTAGTGTTATTCGGTTGGTACAGGAATGACGTAGAACGTAAAAGTCTCCCGATAAATCTATCTATAGACATCAGGTGCACGCTCTCAATGTACATACGTGACTTCGTTCCACCCTAGACGCGTGATTAAGTTGCTAATAATAAACTATAGGAACGTTGATAGAAGATCGATTCTGCGTCATAAACTAGCCTAACTGAACGAAGATATCAAACAGGATGACCATTTCTTTTTTCATTCACTATTCTTCTTCTTCTTCTTCTTCTTCTTCTTCTTCTTCTTCTTCTCCTTCTTCATCTTCATTTTATTTATATATTTCTTTACTTATAGATTTTCATACAACATATTCATGTCAAATATACACAAATTTGACAATGAATATTTTCAAAACAAAAATTTATTATTTATTATTAATTATTATACACGTATCCTCTAATTATACGATTTATTTTGATCAAACCTACTTTACATTAACAGAAAAACTTTTGATCATTGTTTTAAGAGTAATAATTGTAAAGCAGTTATGTAACTATTCGTAGAGCAAACTTTTAGCAAAAGCACCGGGGGTGGGAGGACGGGGGTGGTTCAACATGATGCGTGAATAATTCACACATGGGAAGATAGAATTGAAATGGTGATATAGTAATTAACAATTTAACGAGCATCAGAGTCAACCAGGATGCATGAAAGTTACGTAACGAAGGGAACTCTTATTTGAAAAAGCATTCGTGTTTTTCACTCGAGCTTCTTTTTTTATGTTAATAAAACTGTGAATAAATAAATAAATAAATAAATAAATAAAACAAACTGTCAACACACTCAAATTGATATGATACGGATGAAAATATGATATATTTTCTATTATTATTGTTATATCAATGAAATTATTCTTCGAATTGAGATTGTAATAAAAATAATTTTGATTTCATCACGTATCATTTCTATGGAGATATGTTAGGATTGTTTTAGGTTTGATAAGTATATATATATTGATTAAATTATGTATTTTTATCATCTGATTTTTCTATACAATCATTCAAGTTAAGTTGTATCGTATCGTTTGATAATTTACTTTCTTCGTTGTTAGAGTTATCTAAATTGTTTGCCTTTTCATTTGAACTTGCTTCTTTATTTTCATTTTGATCATCTGAACTTGTTTCTTTAGTTTTATCTTGGTCATCCAAACTTGCTTCTTTTTTTTCTTCTTTTTCATCTGCACTAGCTTCTTTATTTTCATCTGCACTTGCTTCCTTATTTTCATCTGCACTTGTTTCTTTAGTTTCATCAGTACTTGCTTCTTTATTTTCATCTGCACT